AATAGGCGGTGCGAGCACGATCGCGGATCAAGTAATGAGCGCCAACCTCCTGGAGGAGTGCTCTGTCGAAGCGGCCATTGGTCTGCCTACTGTACCGCCCTGTTCGCGATTTTTTCTTCGCAGCAGCATGAGTGGTCTAGATGGCGATGAGAGGTCTTGGGACAGTCAGCAATCTCTTTCCTGTCTCATTGGCCAGTTGCAGGAATTGGTAGAGAAGACGGTTGACTGTCTGATGGCCGCAGATCAGTTTGAGATTGTGACATTGCTATGCCACTGGTTGATGCCCATTCTCGCTTCATTGGGACATCACCAGCGACTGGCGAAGATCCATGAGCTGGTTGGTGCTACACACACAGCTGCGACAGCCTCTGCGGTGAGTCTTCCTTGGTCATTAGTGTCGTTGATGGGAGCAAAGAAACACGTTTTTGGGATTATGCATAAAGCGGTTGATTTGATTTTTTTAAAGAAGCAAACACACCTTTTTGTCACATTCCTACTGTGGTTTTGTCAGTCAGGTCGGAGGTTCTATTTCCTGACCCTACACATCAGAAATCATGGTTTCTCGATGCCTGTCTTGTAAAGGCAAGCCCGTGCCTTTCAACTAAAAGATCGTTCAGCTTCAGACAACGCCACCTTTTAGAATATGGGTGTAACAGGTCGATGGCACTTCCTTTATGTTTGTACCAGTACATCCTTAGCCAGGTGTATGAATTTCTCCGAAGATCGCCAACTCTGCAATTGCACGCAAACGTGTTTTGGGATCTTCCGCCTCGCAGAAGACGGCATGATTAGTTTTACTTCATTCATCTGGTCCAGGATACACCAACCCTGGCTGTTTCAATCCCTCGCCAGACGAAACAGCCAGGGTTGGTGTATCCTGGACCAGATCGGTGTACACCTTTGTACTAATCGATATCCCGATCGACAACCGGCAAAGACGTCGACCCGTTGGCTCAATGGATAGGACGTTCGTCTCTAGCTCACTGGTCGCGGGTTCGAAACTCGAGTGTAGCGGCAGTTTCTGTGGCTATACTGGAGTTGGGTATCTGCAGCTGACGACAGCTAATAAGCTAGAAATACGCGTATACTGCAGTCCTAACGTTTGTCGGTAATACATTGGTTATATTTCACTATTTTCGCAATCTACTCCACCATGATTGCCTCACCTTAATGGCTTTTTAATTCAGTCTAAATCGTCTCACACGTTCGCACCGTATAGGATAATGTTACCAAAGCACTAAAACGAACAGTCTTTCTTTGACTAAGAAGAGGTTTTCCCTGCTTGCTCATAGTGCGGAACATGCCCGTCCCATTTTGCCTAAAATTTTAACTTAGAACGCAGATTTTGATGCATTACGTTGATATGTGTCCGTTTAATTATAGGAAGAGAGGCGCCTCTGCAGTGCATACTTCAGAGTCGGCTTCTATGGTCGAAAGTTTGAAGAACTAGATGGCCGGGAATTTGTCTATAAAGAAACACCCTTGACAAAACTTCCGGAAGTCACTGCCAGATTGAAAGTAAATTATTAATCTGTACATTTACCAGACTACCATTTGTCATGTATTTCCTTAAATACTTTATACCATCCTAAACTAACCTATATCTTCGTGCTCTAGGTCCCAGAATATAACTCAAACTAGCCTATGACCTTTGATCTAAAGTTCAGTTTCCTTCCGCGATTAAGATGTGCTATTTTTGGTTGGGACGGAGCTGTACGCTCCTTTTTTTATTACTGGCAAACGTTAGGAATTATGTTACTCGCCAACTTTAAGTTACCATTTTTTTTATTACTGGCAAACTTAACGACTCTGAGATACGCGTATTTCTGGGTTATTACCCCTTCATCGGTCAGAGTTACCTGACTCAAGTATAGCCGCAGAAATTGCCGCTACACTCGAGTTTTGAACCCGGGACCAGTGAGCTAGAGATGACCGTCATATACACTGAGCCACCAGGTCCACGTGT